ATCTAAACCAAATATTTTATTTCCTACAATTCAGTGAAAGGAAATTCAGTTTCTCTTTCTAAAGCATATTACTTGTGTTTCTAGTGAATCCTTTTTTGAGGCCAAGTTTGAATTAAATAAAATGACTGAGAATATTGTTTATAGGATGTGAAACCACTTCCCTTTGTGGGTAATTCTTTAAACAAAGACTATATTACAAATAATAGTGTGTCACTGTGTTGTTAGACTGAAGACACACTAGAGCAAAGTGCCTTTACTGTAGGACAGTTGTTGGCCAAAATCAATTATAATGACTATATTGATTTTTTAGCTAACTGCCTATGAAATTTCAAAAGATTACAACTTTAATTGATATTGAATTGTGTTGACTTGATTGATTTCCACATCTGGTTTAAGTAGGTACTTACTGAGTGCTCAAATCCCTAGTGGTGTTCAGAGCTGGGAGTGAGAGGAGAGCAGAAGAGATTGTATAATGTTGCCAGGCAGGATTAAACTGGGAAAGGAGGAATGGAAAGGGAAGATGATGTCTCTGTTATGTGCATGTTCAGGGTAGAAAATAGATGTGAGAACCGGAATGTGTATGTAGCTTGGAGGCAGGTGCCCTGATAATAGGGAAATGAAGAGAATAAAGAAAGATTAGCTTTAGACAGGGCTGAGTTGGGATGGGGATAGGGATTGCTACCTCTGTAAGGATTAGCAGTGTGGCTCCATCCAATTTGACCCATTCACTCCTTGGGATAATCTTTGAATTTACTATTAAAGACATGACAACCAATCGTGGGGTTTTGGAGGGGAGTTTATTTAGTGTAGACCCAGGAATTTGCATATTGAGTGTTGAAGCATCTCTTCACTGCCTTTGCTCATATTCTTTCTCCCATAATCATCTGGATATGAGAAATTCCATGTGGCAGTGTCACTTCCAGTCAGAGGAGTATTTTCAAGGTCTGTAATTCTGATTCTTGCCTTTTATGACTTACCATTTCAAAATGGCTTGACTCGTTAGTGCCATCTGTGGGGCAGCAAGAATATGGGTCTGCCTGGTTTGTTGTTATCTTGCTGTGCTGGAATTGCCTTGTTTCCCAGCTTCTGAGTGGGTATATGGTTGGCATTTCAGTACTGTCACACTGTGCAAATGAATCCTAAACCTTTTTCTAAGGAGAGTTTGAATCCTTCCTACACTGATTTCTGTTTAGAACTTATATGTATGACTGAATCAATAATCAACTAATGACAATGTGAAGAGCGAAACCAAACTGTGCAGTGTTATTGAAAAGGCATTACTGGATCAGAACTCTAGGGCATGTAAAGTATTTGCTGAGTTGTTGTGAGTCGGATTTATTGATTTGTTTTCTTCCTTATGTTGTGCTGATTCCATAATTCTGTTCAATAGATGAGCATAAAGAATGTATTTCTACCATTAAGAATCAGGGGCTTGATGTACTGCATCAGACTATCAAAGCAGATATTTTGATCCCAGTAGTATGAGATACCTGCTGCTTTAGAGGAAGGCTGTGCTCATCCATGAAACTTTTCTTCTGACCTCTATGCAATTATTGTATTCTGTGAAGCATGCAGTGTAAACATCAATGCTGTTAATAGCCATAAATAATTCCTCTTTCTGAAAATTTCTATCTGATCCATGCTGTTGACTTGCAGATGAAGTTGCTAAGTATCTCACTAATGAAATTAACTATTACAGTCACAATTATAAACTAAGGAAATGGAAAGCTAGGACAGCATGAAGAATTGACAACCATAGCAATTGACTGAGACAGGGTGCTGCATAAAATAAAATAAAAAATGATCACGAAAGCTTTTACTCTTGACTAAAATAAATAGTTGCTAGGTGAACTGTACGAATAGCACTGAAGGGTGTGTGGAAGTACAAGGTAACTTACTTAGGGTTATTGCAAAGCAAGACATTTGTGTTTTGTGAGGTCTGTCAATATACATGGTAGTTTTCCAGGTACGTGAAACTGATTTCTTTTTAGGTGGAGGGGTAAAATAGCAAAGGGTGCATGTAACTATATGCAAGTGAGGAAAACTGGAAACTGATGGGACTTTCATGCTTAAGCTGGAGAGTGCTAAGGTACTTCAGTGTGGAGATGACTTAAGTGCTTACTGAAGTATGGATTTTGGTATTATTAGACTAAATGGTTAGATTAGTAGCCAAGATGTTGCCTAAGAAACATTATAGTGCTGTTGGTAAAAGCAAATTTTTGGGATATTTGCTCTTATAATAACGTAAATTGTAACATGAATGTGGAACAGATTCTGGACAGTCTAAACTAGATTACAGTTTGGTCATAGTTGTAAAATGTGGCCTGGGATGAAGCAGAGAAGTTTTGTTCAGCTAAATTTCTGCAGGCCTCTGCAATAGAGACTCAAGCGTGACCAGGGAGTTTTCTTACTGTGTGTGTATGAATTGGGGTCCTCTAGGACCTGGTGGTGATGGGGGTGTGGGAAGGGGACGGGTTTTTTTGGTAACTCTGTATCCATCTGTGAGAGGTGCTGTGCTGCAGGAAGGGCTGGAACCAAATCCTGGCGATCTTGGCTGCGTGGTGGAAAGCGGTTGTTGATATATTTACTGGAATGATAATTCCTGTCTGCGAGAGCTCAGACTACAGTGTGCAAGCTTAGAGAATAAGCCTGGATACATCAAAGCCTGATTTTAAGGGGATTATTTATTAAGATTTTTTTTTCGAATTCTTTTGACTATGTAGAAATAACCAGAATTGAGAAGTGTTGGGTTACTTAAGAAAATCCAGGGGTTGCTGGTAAACTTTGCTGATGTAGAACTAATGCTGTATATGAGCTCAGGTTAAATTCAGCCAGCTATTTTAGCCAAAAATAAGGGAAGTATAATTCAAAAAAGCTATGATGCTGCAGCAGCACTTAGAATATTTCAACTTTTAATTTACATTTTTAAGTGAAGCTAATAACAAAATAAAAACTTGATTTCTTATAACAGGGGATAGTTATAAGTTGAAAGCTCATTTCTCTTGGCACAAGATAAAACCAGTTATTCACAGTTCTGTTGAGAGTACCAGAATTTATCTTATCAGTTCAGAGAAGTGAAAAAAAAAATCCATTCTGCCTATCAGACAGGGCTTTCACTGAGTCTGACATTTAAGACTAACAAAGTGATGTCATCTTCTGCCTATAAAACTGGGAAATTGTCAGGGGTCAGACTGAGTGCCTACAGGATGGTTACAGGAGAGGTGAGCAGATCCCTAAGCCAGAGTGAAAGGAGAAAGTATATGAAGTGGTACAAGTGGAGATAGTGTCACTGAAACTTTTTTATAATGGGAGGACATGGTACTGTTCAGATCTGCCCTCTGCTGACAGAAGTGTTTAGTGTGTAGATGTGCTGGTTTATGTTTTTTTATAAACCAAAACATGATGGCCTGACTGCCAGGTCACGAGGAAGGCCAAAGTAGATTTTATTACAGATACTAATGGAATTTCCCTCACTGGATTACACTGAGGAGGCTCTCCAAAGATCTGACCTAAGTCCGTTATCTGACTCTCCTTATTTTGCAGTTTGCTTGATGGAAGAGAAGAAAAAGGATCAAGTTTGATGTTGCAATTGCGTTTATTTTAAATTATTTTTTTCTTATCATTGTTTTTTATTTCCCAAACACCACAACCTCGAAATTATTTTTCTTTCTTTGGCATATGTTTTCAGTTTCATCAATGTGTGATAAGGCACCTGGAGCAAAAACCAGAATTGAATGGTAACATCAAGACCATGTTGTAATTGTCTGAACCCAAAAGAGGCAAAGCTAGATAGTGCTCTGAGAGGTGGAGAGTTGCCCTTTGTTGTGACAATCTGGATTAGCTGTAGCATATCAGGGATATGTGAATTAGAAGCTTGCCTGTTTTTTAGCTGCCTGGTTTTGTTTTGTTTTTGTTTTTTGCAGTGTTAATGTAAGACATCAGTGATGTAGATTTACTGGTATTGGCCTCTAAACTAATGCCTTGTTCCAAGTGAGCAATTATAAATTGTGCTTTAAGTTAGCTGACTGTAGAAAATGGGAAGGAGCAGGATCATGTTAGCACTAATGAAGGAAAATGGCATGAAATATTAAATAACTGTTATTATAAGATACTTCATAAATCCAAAGGAAGTAGAGGTGAAAAGACCTATAAGGTCACCTAACCTATCCATTCTAGAGAACTGGCTTGCTGCCTGCAGTATATAATCATTATCTGCTACGCCAGAATAGCTCTAAATGCTCAAAACTTTAGTACTCTTACTGCAGGCATGTGGGAAGAGACTAGAAAGGGCAATACATTTCTTTTCTATTTCTGAAACCTTTAGTCAGATTTACATGTTGATTTTTTTTTTCTTTTATTTCATCTTTTGTTTTAATTTTGTTTTTCTGCTTTGATGTCAGAAAGCCCTGAAGAGTGAGATGACTTTAATCATTCTGGATAGCTATGCTATCTATATGTCTTTTGTCTTTGTCACTTTGATTGACAATTCTCTTTTTGAATCTTTCCCAGTTTTTAATCTTTTTTCTTATGGCAGCTGGGTTCACTGGCTAATCACCCCACAGTGGTAGTGTGTGGAGTAAGAATATTTTCTCATATTCTCTCCTTTTTTTTTCCTTTTCTGTCCCCTCTCACCACACTTTTTGCACATCCTTATTGGGTAAATATGCCTTTAGGAGAGAGCAATATCATTATTATAGAGCTGGAATTCAGTAATGATTTGCCACAAAGAAAGGTAGTATGAGCAGTGGAGCCATAGTGGAGGTATTGTGTCACTTTAGAAGGTTGCTGGAGTGAGCAGTACCAAAAAGGTGGTTTGTCTTTTGTTTGACTGTCATGAACTTGAATGTACACCCTGAAAAACAAGTACCTGCTCAAAGAGGTAGCATACATGTAATGCTCTATCCACATCTGAGAAGAAGGTGTAGAACAGTTATTTAGCTTCTCTGAGTGTTCTTATCCTTATTTATTTTTTTTCATTTACTCTGTAATTGCCTTTTCAGCCCGGTCAAGGAGTTTGGTGATGGGTGAACAGATTGGGCCTCCCTCCAGACCTTCTTCTCCAAACCCTCAAGAACGTGTGCTGAAGTGTGGCTGGCTAAAGAAGCAAAGGAGCATTATGAAGAACTGGCAGCAGCGATGGTTTGTGCTGCGTGGGGATCAGCTCTTCTATTACAAGGATGAAGAGGAAACTAAACCTCAGGTATGACTTATTGGTTGTGACTTCTGTGTAGATCACAGTTACTGCTTTGATTGACAGCTCATTTCAGTTGCTTTCTATCCTCGCCAAAACCATACACACTTAAGAAGGTTCAAAGGCAAGACACATGGTAAGGAGACTTCTATCAGGCAAGTTGTAGAGCTTGGGAAAAGGTTAGAAGGTGCTTACTTACCCACTAGGGCATGCTGACCTCCAAATCTTAGTATGGTCATCTGTGAGACTGGAGTTTGACAGGAAGAGCTATGGAGTTCCAGATTCCTGAGGCAGGAGTGATTAACCTTGCTTAGTCAGCTGGGACTCATTATCTCCCAACTAATCCATTGTTCGCTGAGAGGTGAACCAGCTGTGTAGGGCTGGCTTGTGTGTGTAGAGTGGGTAGGTTTTGTTACATCCTGGCATGAAGGGCTTGAGAATGGGCTGTAATATGTTTTAGCATTGTGGGGGAAGGAGAGGGTGTTGTGCTATGGGATAAAGCTTATAGAGGAGATAAAGAATTTATTATTCATCTTCTTCAAATGCCTGTAAAATACTCTTGCAGCATTTGAGCTGAGGTCTTCCCTAGTTGCTGTAGTAGGTTATGTATCATAATTCATGTGGTTATTGTTTTGACTGTCAGGCCTTTAGCCAGAGTCATTGAACAGAGGGAACATAATTGAATAAGCCAGACAATGTCCCTGTACTGCTGCCTCCTGATGAGTCAGTACAGGCATTACAGAGTGACAGTCAGCCTGTGTAATATCATCACCATCCACACGCTCATTATAGATGATTATTGAACTGCTTGATGCAGCTGTGTGCTTGACTGTCACATAAATTTCATTGTAGAGTGAGAATGGAAATGAATATTCCCCTGTGGGCCTGATATAAGTATGGTAGATGAATGAGGATGTTGGCTGCATCTTATATCTTGCACTCTCCTAATCAGGGATTTGGTCTGTCATTATGGACAGCCTGCTGTGTAAAGGCTACAGACACTTGGACCTGATGATGTAGCCTGGTTACTCAGGATGCTGCAAGCAACAGCTGGATTTTGTGCTTTTAAGCCAAGCACCTTATATTCATGTGCAATGGATATGGAGAGCTGGGCACATCTGAACTGTGTTAGTGAACATGAGGAGGAAGAAACTGCCTCAGTAGTCATGTTGTAAAGCATTTCTTTAACCCTGGCCCTTTTGGGGCATGGAATTGCCATACATTTATCACCATGGGAAGCAGTTTTCACAGAATCACAGAATATTAGGATGATAAAGGACTGTGTCCTGACTATTCTTTTAGGAATCGCAAACTAGGATTTGCATCTGACTTGAGCTAGGACTGTATGCATCCCACAGGTGAGATGTACTTTTGTAACTTGTAGTTAGCTATTGCTTGGGATTTTCTGGAATGAGGGGGCAATGGCACAGGGATGCCTACAGAGGAACACAATTGAGACCTTAAGAGATCTTTGTTACAGGCCATGGAGATATTTTCATTAGTTGATATTAATCCCTAATTTCCTTTAGCCTGAAAGGTTCTCATGCTTAATTTAAGTGTTTTTGTTTTATATATCAAGTATGGTCTGCAAGCTTGTGTGCAAAAACTAAATCAGTAGCTGCACCAAAATTCCCATTGATCTTCTGCCTACTTGATTATTTATACATACTCTGGAAGAAGGTTGTATTCTTATTGTTTAGCTGATAAAGTCAAGTGAGATTTATGACATAATGTTTCAAAAGACAAACATGAAATAACAGCTTTTTGTTTATGGATGTTGCATTGCCTATTTTTACGAAAAATCAGATTCTAAGAGGAAATTGCAGATGTTCTTCCCTTGATAATAATGCTAAAAAGATGGAGCTGTAATCTAATGGTAGGAGAATCACACAGGCTTTCTGGAGTGAAGAGGAATTACTCTGTGGTCTTAATGGATTGAGTACTGTTGAAGGTGTGTGCATTTGTGTGCCATATGACATAGTTGCAGTTGCACAGCTCACTCAGAGTCCAATGTTTAGAGGGTGGACTTGCAGACATTACTTTTCCTGAGTGTTTTCTCAGGTTGCCCCCATGAGGAAAGGGGGAAGGGAGGACTGACCTGCAAAGAGCTTTTGATGCTCCTACTGACTCTGTCAATATATTGGTCAGTTTTTAAAATAGCTTTGTGTTCATTTCTATTCCCAGGATAGGAGATAGCATGCACTCCTCCCCAGTTTCCAGGGGAACAGAAGCCACTGTGCAACTAATTCATTAACCTTTCTTTCAGTGTTGACTTGGCATGATAAAAGGCTTTAGTGCATCTGCAGTGGGATTGAATTTTGCCCTCTAGAAAACAGCAGAATTTTCTAGAATGTGTTCTGGCCACTGGACTCTAAAGATAATGTTGTATGTTATACTTTTTTGTTCCATTTGGAATAATTTGAAATGCATCTGCATTTTTGTCATGTTGCCTTTCCAGTGTTTTCCTGTTATCTTTGGAATGCCTTCAGCATGTCTTCAAATTTCAGTGAACTTCAAAGTCAAATTGTAGGGCAATAGGATAGGGAGGGGAGGGTGCTGAAAGTTTATCCTATTCTGTTGATTTATTTTACCTTAATTTTAAAACTTGCAACCATTCTAGATAAACCTCTCAGTATGGACTTTGCTAAGTGTCCTCCTACAATGTGTCCTTACACTAAGTAGGGGACAGGAACTGAACCTTGACACTCTTTTGCAGCACTACCTAAAGAACCTACTGGGGATTAGTGTTGATCCTGTTCCAGTCAGTGAGCAGAGATGGCAATGATGTGATCTCCACATAACACTTTGTAATGGGACACACAAAAGGCAGAGTGAGGGTCGCAGGGCAACTGCTTCTGTAATATGAAGTGGGGGGTCATAAAGCACAAACTTGGTCAATATTTTTATTCATTATACTGAATACTTGGAGAATACATATTGAGAATGGTAATGGGAGTCAGATATATAGATATACCTAGTTAGATATATACTACTTAGATATACCTAGTAATAGCAGGACAGCTTTACATTTCTCCTTCTCCAAGGGGACTGCATGAGCCTGCACATATCTGTCCTCTCAGACTATCCACAAGTTTCCTGACCATTTCCCATCACTAAAATCCACCTAGTAGCTGTCTGTTTTTTCATTCTAATCTAGCATGTACTTTGCAAGGTGAAGGAGCAAAGCTCTTTCATTTGGAACAGGCTGGAATTTCATCATCGTTCAACTCATTGTGGAGAGTATTATCTGCTAATGAAGAAAAGTTTGGTTTGGTTTTTTCCTCTTGCGGAAACAGACATCCAACACCTGGAAAAATATTTGAAATAACCAGATTTCATTGTTCTGTTTACTCCATCAGCAGGCCGGACTGTTGCTGTTACTCATACCTGTAGGTGCTCCTGTAAGCCTCAGGTCCAGTATGGTTTGTAGGTACAGCTTGACTGAAAAAATACATAAATCTGTTAAAGCCTTGGTTTAGAGGTTTTGAACATGCATTAAGCTTTGAAAATCTTCTGTTCGTTTCCCAGTACTGACTCTAGAAGTTTTTAAGGGCTGTTACCAACAAAATGTTTCCCTCAAACAAAACCTAGCTCTAGTAATGTTAATGCAGCAATGTCTGCTGGTAGCCTGAGCCAGCAAGTCATCCTTCTTTGTCTATTATTGACACAACCATTACTGGGTGTCCAGGTGATGAACAGGAGAGGTAAGAGAGGTTTTTAAAAGTTCATGCTTGACTACACCTGGGAACGTTCTTCACGAACACCCAGGAAAGTTTCCCTTGTTACATTTCCTGGTCTGAGAAAAAAGGATCTGAGACAACAATTGACTTATCACTTGAAATGTGGGATCTATCCTTTAGCCTACTTTAAATCTGAGGCTGTTTGGCTTCCATCTCTTTTACTGAGACTGTGGCTAAATCTGGTCATGGATTAGCTTAGACTATATGATCCTTAGAATTCAGGGTTGGAGATTATTCACTGGTATGAAGCTGTTGCAGAAATTTTGTTCTGTGTTTAGTTAAAATAAAGATATTCCTGTATTTAGTTCGTCATCCTTAGCCTGGGATTCAGAAACCCATACCTGAGGGCAGATTTGAGTCCCACTATTTCCCCCCTTCCAGTCTTTTAAGGATTTGTAACAGTGACTGAAGTGCTGTTTTAAAGGTATGAGAATTAGGATGATCAGTGTTTTGACACCAACTGCATTTGTTGAGGGACTCAGACAAGTAAATGAAGCTTTTCAGTCATGTTTCCTGTGTCACAGACTTTCTTTTCCAAATACTGGCTCCAAAGAGCCTGGTACAGGCAGGATTTCTCTGTTGATCTTGTTAGGGAGAACTACAGTAATACCATTAATATATGAACACTTGTCCTCTTTAAGATTCTCCCTCAAAGCACCAAGGCCCCCAAAGGGTATAAGGTGGTGCTATCATCAAAAAAGGGTTTTGAGCCTCCAGCTTAGAGGAAGGTCTGCAGCCTCTTGCCTGCCCCTTGAGATGTTCAACCATCTCAGGCTCCCAAAGCCTGAGGGAGGGAGGAATAACTTGGTCGTGAGTTGATGTTTATTTCTGGGGCATGCTTTGGCATATATCAAGTTAGATTTTGGGGAATTTAAACTGATCTAATCCATCATTAATTTACTTGCAAGCAAGATTGCTAATGCAGTCTGAGTGGCTCCTGGACAAGGACACATGAATCTGTTTGAATTTAGTAACGTCTTTCTACCAGTGACAGCAACTGTCAGAATTGATACACCCTCCCCGTTAAGATAAATTACTTTTTTCTACCTTTTCATCTCTGTTTGTTTGGAGTTCCCCATAGCTTGCCAGGCAGATTGGACAGCTGTGAGCTAGGCACTCTGTTACCCTATGGACGAGTTTTTTGTCCCCTGAAAGGACTGTTTCTAGAGAGAAATCAGCAGAATTTGCTGGTGTGCAGAGGGAAAAGTGCAAGAAGCTGATCTGAAAATCTTTGCTATATATACACTTATAACCTAAGAATACTCTCCAGACATGGGCCTATTTTGCAGGCTTTTCTTGGTTTTCATAGGTGAAGTGAGCATCTCTCAATTTTAATTTCTGAAAAATCATTCTTCTAGGTCAGTTTGCTGCAACTTCATTGCACAACTGAATGAGGTGCATACTGGTAAGGAAAAAGTAGCTTTACTGATGTACAATACACATTTAATTGAAGGTGATTAAACTGAGAGTAAGAGACAAGTCGCTTCAATGAAAACTTTTTAGAGAATATATGAAATCAAATATTTCCTAAAAAGGATCAAAAAGAAAGTATATTTTGAGTGGGAAATGCTTTGGTTTAGGATGTTATTTCAGGCAATTTATGCCTCTGTAATCTCTTCTAAAGTAAACATCACCCTCATGTGTCGAAGGTATGTCTCACTGAAGAGGGGGCAGGTGACATTGCACCATATGGTGCATCAAGCATGGCAAAAGTCCATTTGCTTAGTTTTGTTGCAGGAGAATGGTGACTGAGTCAAGCAAAGTACAACCTTTGGAAAGCATTACAGAGTGAGAATTTGGTTTAACCCTTTGACTTCATCACTGACTTCAGTTTCCTGCAGGAAGATGGGTTTTCTGAAACTCTAGTTTGACAGCATTCTTCTATGAACTGCTCCTGCTCTTCACTGTAAATACACTCTCCTCCTGTATATACTGCTATGCATCTTCACCCTTCCATACTGTAAAACAGCAAAAAGCTAGCTTGTATATCACTGGGTTCTGCCTAAAGTATGTGTGACCCAGAAATACGTGTTTTCCAGGTTTATTAATTTAGGCTAAGGGAAAGAACCTTCCACAAAAGTGTTCCTTTTTCTGAAGTAACAGAGGGTTTGATTCAGTCCTGAGTTCTCCTTGATTATAAATGTGAGGTTTAGGTAACCATTTCAAATGGGAATTTATGCTTGCTTTATACTATACAATAAAGAAGGCCCAACTTTTTTTTTTTTTTGAGGAATTGTAGACACCTGTTTTGAGATGGGTTAGTTTTGCTTAGAGGGCTTCTTAAGAGAGGACTGTACCTTAAAATAAGAGATAGAGTTCAGTTACTGGGTCTTGAAGAGATTTTCTTTCTACAAAATGTATTTTTTTTCCTCCAAAGAAAGCAGCTGTTAACATTTAAGAGAATTACATCTTGTGATGGAAAACTATTACCAGCTTTCAAATGGTAACTGAAGCTCTGAAAGTCTGAACAGCTGGGATCAACTGATACCATATTAGTTTTTATTGCCATATTTGCAGCTTCTGTTAATAAAATAGTGACCTGAAAGTGTAAATTTACAACTGAGAATGCATAAACATCAAGTTTAAGTTAAATTAACAAAATAATTACTTGGAATTTGGTGGGTTTATTGTTTCCTTGTTTGACTTCCCCCCCCTCCCCTCCCAAGTCAGCTTTCTGAATTTTTTCAGGATTCTTTCTTGTGTTTTCTGAGCATTCTTTTCTTAGGCTATTCTGAAATATTTTGTGGTTTCATTTGTGTAACTAAGACTTTTAAATTTTCTTCTGCTTGTGCTACCAGTTCCCTAGGCATGTTCCATATACTCCTAAAAGTGAGAGGTGTCTGAATTTCTGTATGCAGCATTAAAACTTTGTCCTATTCTTCATAAAGGAGCTTTTTAAAAGAAAGAATTGTGACCCTACCACCTATCCACGTCCCCTTACTCTCATGTGCTTCAGCCTCAGATTAACATAGGAGCTACTTCTTTTGCTCCCCTCTCTTCATAGAACTTCGTTCTGTGGAAAGGCAAGCAGATACTTTTATTTCAGTTTTGTTCATTTTACCTCTTCAATATGGTGTCTCTAGGAGAATGCTATGTAGCTACTTTATAACTTTTGCATTCAGTATGAAGAGGAGATGAGGAGGGAGCATGAATCTCTCAGTGTGCATCCCATTAAATCATTTTCGTTTCAAAGAACTACCTGATAGAAACCACACTAAGAAAGCAGTCCTTCTGCTCAAGCCACATTTTGAGACTGCTCCTTGGCAAAATATCCTAAGCACTTGGTAAAAGAAAGATTGAGGGTCTTGCCTTCAAAACTCATGCTGTGGTCAGTGGGTCACTGTTTGGTCCTTGTTCTTGGCTGACATAGTATTCCATGACACTACCTCTACTTTGTGTGGATCTCATGAGTTGCAGTACACACAGGGCTTTAATTTGCCTGATACCCCTGAGGGCTGGCTAAACATAGAATTAGGTTGCTGAGTGTACAGTGTCATGGGAAGTGAGTTTTGTTTTGTGAAGAACAAAATTTGAGTACTTGTGAAACATTTTCAGTTTGCAACAAACAACTCCTATCAAAGCAGCAAGTCACTTTAATAGGATGGCTTGTCAGAACTGGAATGTCAACTTGTAAACCTGCATGACTTGGAGCTTATTTCCTAGCCGAAGTATTTTCCATCTCAGGCATTACTGTTGTGGTATTTTATTTTGTAGTAGTTTTTGAATGTTCTATGTTCAAAGAAAAGAGTAAAACTTAATTCCTTTACATTTAATACAAGCTGGCTCCTTGGGCAATTTTAGTAGTTTTCTGAACAAAGCATCTTGAGGAAAATGTATTCCCAAGGAGCAAAGCCATAGAAGTTACACCATAATTGTTGGAATGAAAATTAACACATCTGGCTTATTTTATTGAGACGATTTCAAAGGTCCTATGATGAGTTGTCTTTCATTAGTTAAAACCCAGTTTCCATTCCAGGTCAGTTCAATGCATGAGTAGGAACTCCTGATTACCCCATTCATGGTTTAACTCTTGAGAGTTCCAGTTCTTATTGCCTTTTGTCTGCCTTACTGTGAGCATATGCTGAAGAATGTTAGCTGGAAACCCTTTAAAATGTCAAAGATTAAATGCTTGTTCCACTCATGTTTCTGGACAAGAACTCCCTGTGATCTCTTTTTCAGCTTTACACAGATGAAGAGGACTTTATTCACTTTGAAGATACTATGTCACCAACTATGCAGAATTCCCAAACTGGAATAGAGTGTGTTAATTATACTTGGGCTCAAAGTGGAAATGAAGCTGAATATTGGCAGCATTTGAACTTGGGAAGTAAAGGGGCTCAGGTTTCCTTTAGGGAAACTATAGTCTGGGATAAAAGGTAGTCGACTGCTTTGCAAACCTGAATTAGCTGCTTTCCTCCAGTATCTCCCTGGGAACTTCTGTGTACTGAGGATCTCTGGAAAATGGTTCATTTTATTCAATTGCAGAAATAAAGATAAACAATAGAACTTAAGCCATCTTGTTGGTGACTGAAGTTTCATGCTGCAACCTGAAATTAAAGGATGAAGGAAGAGTAGATGTAATGTGAGACAAAATTATTGCAAAGGATAATTAGTTATGGAAACCAAGGAGAATCACCTCCACATGCTTAGAGTATTGTTATCCCAGAGGAAAGTGTATTTGACCAGAAGTGTCCAGAGAAAGGATAAGTAAAGCATGATCAGCTTAATCTTTTCTTGCTCAGAAATGTGGAAAGAAGTTGGGCTCTGAATTTGCTATGTGTCATATCATCTTTTCTTTACTCTTTTGATGGCTTTTCCCTTTTCACTAATGCTTGTGTCCCTTACAGGGTTTGATATTACTGCAAGGCAATCAAGTGAACGAGCTGCCACCTAATCCTGATGAACCAGGAAAACATCTCTTTGAAATTACCCCAGGTATGCCAGCATTTCTTAGTGCTTTCAACATAACACCACTTTATTCCCATCAATTCTCATTAATGATAATCGAATTGTACTGATCATTTCACTCCTAAGTGTTCTGATACACTCACCAGATTATCTAGTGAGGCTGGGAAATGGGACTTGACAGATTACATGGTGTTCTTTGTTTGGGATAAAAATGCTGTTGTGGTACCTCATTTTCATTTCATGGTAGTTGAGATGCATAATGCTCCTTGATTTTTCTGTTTGGAGTGGGCTTCTTGCTTGGAGTGCTGTGTGGTCTCTCAAGCTGATGTATTTTTCTGGTTGTTTAGGGAGAAACTGATACAGAACACACCACAGAATGTATGGAAAAGGGGCATGCAGTATCTGGATTTAATTTCTTTCATGTATACTAGCCCTCATGTATACTAGTTTCAGAGGTCAGGGAGAGAATAAAGCTTCAAAACATTTCTTTTTGGATGAAAGGTTAAAAAGAACAGATGAACTGCCAGGGAAGAGAGGTAGAAATTTTATTTGACAGAAAGTATAATGATCAGTTTAATGTAGTATTAATGTAAAACTTTTGCAATCGTTTTAGCTCCCATGTAAATGCTTCCTCGGGACAGGGTTGGTATCTCCAGTGTATATTTGAAGTTAAGTTCTCTGTTGTAAGATAGGAGCAATTGTATTCATTTTCTTCAATTCTGATTGTATTTGGGAGAGGGCCATCCCTGTGCATAGATTTGAATACACTTTTGGAGATAGTTTCAGGTGGCAGGATCTACAGAGAAAACAAACAACCTGTTGCACCACTAGCAGTTTTAGAGCAGAGGAGTGAGAAAGATGAACCGGCTTATTCCTTTCACAGCTGTCTCCCAATACTTGAAGGCTGAGTTCCAGGAAACAAGAAGGAAGACAAGTGTTACTGTGTTAAAAAATTATGTGTGTGCACTGACTCAGTCACGCTTTTACTCCATGGCCAGCTTCTCCTGCATGGGCTGCCTGTCCATGCTGCTCAGAATTGTCTGGTCACTCACAGTGGGAGTGGTGTCAATAGGGTAGATAAAAGTAATTACATTAGGCTGCCTCTTTTTTTAATGGAAGAGAGAACACAGGGAACACTTGTCCCTGTATTTGAATGTTAATGCTGTGGAGGCACGTGTCTTTTTACCCATGTCTTTGGGGTCGCTGTCCTAGTGCCCAATTAGGCTGGTTTAAAATGCCTGCATTGCATACCCCTCTTGACACAGTATCAGGCAGAGCAAGAAGAACAGGCAGTGCTGTAAGGTTTTCAATTACATTAGCAGACACCGTTATGCAATGATTTAGTCACAGAATTCTGTTTGACACACAGGAAGCTATTTGGGGAGAAGAGATTTTCTTTTTCCTCCTCTTAATCACTGCACACTTTTTGTTAATCCCTTTTTTTTTTCTTACACTGCACCATGCCCTCATAGACAGGGCTCCACAAACAGCAGGGCATTGGGCTCACAGTGTTTCATGCTTGGAGGATCTCCAAGGATATGGCATTCTATCTGTCTGAATGTGACACATCTGCACTGGTTTTCAAAGATTGTGCACTGTACCGCTGTAGAAGGACTGTGGATCTACGATGTGAAAGCACTTGGGTGGTTGTGATTGTGAATGATCCCATGTGTTGTGGCAGTAATCTGAAATAACTAACTGAGCCACAGACCGACTTGGTTGAGTTTCCTGCAGGTTTGAATTTCCTCTGGTCCTAGATGGGAATATAGTCATTCTGCATGTCTTGCTCAACCTGTCAGGCTGCATTACTGTAGGCTGCAAAAGATTGTGCTAAACTACAGGTAGCTGTTGCTTCAGTGGACTTGGTAAAGCAGTGCCATGTGGCTACTTCACAGAGGCTATGCAGAAGCGTGGCAAAAGTTACACTGTTCAGCATAGTTGTGAATCCCAGGACATTTGTGTTCATCTTGTGGTTTTGACATTGCCCTTTTATGTGTTCCCTGGAAAAATAATTCAGTCTTAGTGTTCCACTGACTTGTCTGCAAAATGAAGATATTTTCCCTAACTTGTGGAGTTAATCCATTTATGTTTGTAGCAAACCTAGTTGCTACGTGGATAGCAAGTATTGAAAAATGCTATAAATAGCCAGTCAATACAGAATGTGATTGGCACAGACGTCACTGGAGAATGTGGCCTGAAGAGTTCCCTGTTTTGTTCACAGTACATTTATTCTGTGCTGGTTTTGGCATAAATGCCCTTTCTTTTTTGCACGTGTTCTGAAATGACCGTGTTCTGCGTGGCTGCCAGCCTGCAGAACACCCACATAGTGAACTGCTCTCAGATGGAGGCCAGATAGGAAGGGAGGCACAAATGATCTTGGTGGACCCTAATGTTTATTTTCCATCATTTCCCATCTCCCTGTGTTGGATGAATGGCCATGATCATACCTCTGCCTAACTGTGCTTCAGTTCTCTCACTGTAAGCTAGAACTCTATGGTTTCTATAGGGATGATGAGAATTTTTAAGTTGTCTTAACTAAGTTTTGGATTTTGTGAATACAGGTACACTTGATACCTGTAAATATAGATATGGGATTTTACTGTGCTAGTAAGCATCAGAGCTTTAACTAACAAAATTAAGAATGGAGTGCAGCATTGCTAAAACATTCCTAGAGCTGATACCAGCCAAGTCTGTGGTACCAGTTACCTCCAAAAATTTATTTTGTGATCAATATTTAAGGCTCTCAGCATCTTTGTTGTGGAACTGTTGGTGGGATCTTCCCACCTTTCCTCTGCTGCAAGCTGTGTAAAGCTGGACTGTGGGAGCTATTCCCTCACAGTGCAGGGACTAGAGTAACAGCATGTCCTGTGCTGTAACAGAGCATGTATTGATTTTCTGCTGAGTAACAAGAACTAATGATGGGCATTGTGTATTATTCATGTTTCATCAAGTTCATTTTTAAGCTGTATAGAGCAGCTGGGAGAAGGGTTAACTAGGGACATGAGACTGCAAAACAGTTCTACAGTCAAACCAGTGTTAGATCTGGTGACAGGACTTCCTGAAATATGTTCTCTATCCTTTTTTTTTTTTTTGAGGGGGAAACTATCTAAATTTCTGGACCCTTTTTAACCCATGCATGCTTTCCTCTGTCATAGCTAGAAGTTCAAAGTGGAATGGCAGAGTAAAATAATGTGGCCTCAAGTTGCTCTCATACTCCAGTGCAAATTAGCAAGTGGGGGGATGTTTTTATAAAATTATCAGGGTAGTATAAGGTCAGATGCAAAGTAATTATCCCACAGCAGCTGGTATTTATGGATAGGACTAACCAACTGTATGTTGCCTAGGAGAGGAGTCTTAAGTCTGGCAACAGAAACAGCAGCTGATTACTAGGGGCTACAAAACAACCTAGTGTTAGTCTGGGGTTATAGTGCACTTTGGAATGGTGTAATGCAATGTGTAGGAAGCCACAGGGATTAATCTCTGAAAATGTCTGAAGGAATATTGATGACTTAAATGCTCCTGAAGTCTCACCTTTTAGGAAACTGATGTTTTTAATTAATGTCTTATGGCAAATGGTCTGCCTAGTTTTATTCCCTAGTTTTTGCAACACTATGAGGTGCTCAAGTTTCTCTGCAGTCAGAGATAATTCCCTGATATAGTAAGGTTTTCAGAGTCAAGGAAGGGAGTGGTAAAAAGGTTCAGAAGTTAGGAGGTGAAAAGTGTTGCCTTTTGATAGGTATGGCAAGGGTTGCTACAAACTGCTTGGAGAATAGGTTTTCTTTGTAGAAAATTTGACGACTTTTGAGGACATTCTATTCTACTTCAGAATGGATTTGATGGAGAGCAAGAGAAAGAAAATAGAAAAACAAACAAGAAATTTTCTATGGATTACCTGGTAACTCTTTGGCTAACATCCTCACCTGTAGTGCAGGAAACCCAAGTTTGTTTCACTGGATTTAGACCAGGAACCTAAATATGTCACCTGTGTAGTGGCCAAGTGCTCTCAGTGACTACCGTTTTGTTGGGAGGTTTGTTTTTGTTTGTTGTTTGTTTGGGTTCTTTTCTGGGGAATATTTTTTTGTTAATTTTTACTGTGAAATCATTCTAGAGTAATGCTGTTGTCCAAAGAAAATGTATCCTTTTCTATTTTAACAAACTGCTATGTTATGGTTGAAAGCAGCCTGAGAAATTTCCGACCAAAACTCATGGTACACATCTTAGTGTCTCCCTGTCACTGATGATAGCTAATTCCTGTTTCTTGCCATAGTGCTTTACGCCAAGGTGAACAATCACAGCTCTTAGCTGAGACTTTCTGTGAGTGCAGTTCTGTAATAAATTTAATTTTATTTAAACTGGAAGCCGCTGCTGGAGGGTTTGATCTTGCTTTCTTCCTTTCCTCTTGGGTTCTTCCAAATATCTAATCATATCTCTCACTTCAGCTCTTATGACTGTAAAAAGTTTTCAGACCAGCTGGACTTCAGGTCAATCCAACTAAGCCTGAGAAAAAGTGGTTGTTAGTTGAGTTATACCACAAACTCTCTTTTTAGGGAGGCAGTTCAGTCCTCTTCATAATTGTTATCTTGGTCTTTTTGCAGACTCAGCCAGAGCACAAATGATTGCCTATACTTGATTCACATATAGAAGGTTATTTTCAAAACTTGACAAGTCAGATCTCTATGACATGGTCTTCAGTTAGTTATAAAGGCTGAGCTCAGTATAGGCCACTTGCCCTACAAAAAGGATTTGCATTTAATACTGACTCTTTTAAAGATGGACCAGTGGTTGCATTATGCCAGAAGTTAGGCTGCAGCAAACTAAAATGCCTCATCCAGGAACTTGCTGCAGGGTTTATGTAGAAGCTACTTCACTGCCTTCATTGTGCTAAATAACAGGAAGGAAATCAAGAAAGGCAGAATCAGAAGGTGGGAGTCCTAACTCTTATAGGGACAGTAATTGTTTTCTCTTTGTTCTGTAGAGGTCTGTTAGTATTGTTGACAGTGTCTTACAGAGAAGTTGGAGTGGCAGCT